AAACTTCTTCGCCGCGTCAATTTGCAGTTGCAGTCCCTCAGGGGTGTCCGACATACCGACAAAATCATCCGCAAACAGCATTCCTGAAACCAACGTTTCCGTGTCCCCTATTTTTACTCCCTTCCGGACTGCCTCTACGACTTCCAACAGATCGTTGATGAACACCTGGAACAATGTTGGGGACAGCGTGCAACCTTGTCGGACCCCCTGCTCAATGTCGAAGAATTTAGACAGTTCTCCGTCTAGCATGACCGCGCTTTTCGTACACTCTGTCATCTTCTTCAGCACTCCAACATTTTCCCCTTGATCCCGTATTTGGACAGTTGTTGGAGGGGTAGAATTTGGGTTGGGCGTGGGTAGGAGCCATATTTTGACCGCTTGCATCTGCTTTCTTAAGACGAGGAGGAGGAGGCGGAGGAGGGGCATCGCCGCGTTCCACTAAACTTTCGTGCTCCTTTTAGAGACGACTCCAAGCTTTAGGATGCTTGTTTTGTTGAGGTAGGGAGGGGGCGGCATTCGAAACTTGATGCTCGAGAGGGGCGCGAGTGGACCGCCAGGAGCGCATGCGCTCCATGGAATTTGATGTCTTCTCGCCAGAACATCAATAGTCTATGTAGTAAATGGGGGTGGACCTAGTGCGTATAGTGACGGGAGGCCTTTCGAATGCTCGAACAGTCATGGCACCGCATTATTCCGCCGACACTTGTACAACAACACCAACAGTCAAGTATAAAACGAGAGTGCGTGTGTATACCCCCCCTCTTTACAACCACTCAACTCAGACAAACACCGGACAGCAAACAGACACCAAACACCAACCTCTCTCCCTCCCTCTCTCCCTCCCTCACCGAAAGCCAACCTCCCTCCCTCTCTCTCTCACCGATGAGGAAGGGGAGAGCCGTCAACAGCACCCCGAGGTCGAACGCAGCCATCCCGTGGCTCGCGCGTCCGACGTAGGCGAACATCGTCAGTGCCACCGCGTCCCCTACCGCCAGACCCCTCCGGGCGGACAGGTCCGACCAGTCCCGGCTACCGTCCGCGGCGTTGATTACGTCGAGGCCGGCTTGTCCCCTCCAAGCGGTGTCCATCACCTGCCGCCGGTGATTTTTCCGTGGGTCTAGGTGTTTGTTGGGTATCTGGGTGGGAACTTGCGAAATTGTGGTAACCAACCGTGGGTACGAGTATTGGTGGCGGTGGTGGTTATTAATTTTCTGTTGCTGCTTCTGCCGTACCAGCGGAATGTTGTTGTCTACCATTTCTTGTTGGTGCCGCCCTCGTACAAGCGACTCCAAGAGCAACATTCACATAGCAGTCTCTCCACCTTGGAATCTCGCCGCCTCTTATCGTGACGACTAGCGAGTAGCCTCGAGGCCCTCCCCACTGCTCGCCCTCGATGTCGGCTTTCTCGATCGAAACAAAAATAAACGGGTGCTTCAACACCTCATCCGTTCGAGAATCCCCACCGAAGAGCAGACAAACAAACCAAATAGACGAAACAACATAGATATCCCTAAAAACGCAAGCACACTCTTGCAGCCTGATTTTCTTCCACCAAAAGCAGACACTGAATCTCATCGCAACGCCAATGTGATGTGAAAAGAGGCGAATCGTTCTCGACAGACGATGGGAGATTGTAGCCTTTATCAAGGTCATTTCCACACAAACCCTTCAAAGAAAAAGAAAGACGGCGTAGGAAGCCTTAAACATGTAAAAGTAACCACTTGCCGTAAACCCTTTCAAAAATAAAAAAGCGCCTCACTTCGAGGTCCTTCTCGTCCTCATCCTCGTCGACGTTGATCCCGAGCTGCCTCTGGATGGCCGTTACCTCCGCCAGGCTGCGCTCGATGGACGCCAGCTAGCCACATTACACACACACAAAATAAACCGACGGTTACATGTTCATTGTTGTTGGCGTTCTATTATCGATCGTGCCGGGCGGCGAGAGCGAAACGAAATCAAGATACCGACCGACGGTGGATGGTGAGGTGCATAGCTCGATTTACGTGACAAGCAAAGATGATGCACGAACTTACACGCGACGAGCAACACAAAAAACACGTGAAAGATATTTAAGCGATAGAGTCCCGAGCGCAAACTCGGGTCGAAACAAGGCACTTGACAACCGTGTATGGGTGTCCCCTCAATAACGTCATCTCGCCTATACCGGAGCCCAGCTTGATGGACGTGTAGCATTGACGCAAATCCTTTCTTCGACCATGTACAAGAACAGCAAGATTGTACCGAGAAACACGACGTGGTATGCATAGATGAAAGTAGTCATTGTGGAAGCCAAAGTTGGATCCCAGCTACTCCTTCAACCAATACTTCCTCCTGTCTCCATGCTACAGAGCCGTTGGAACGGGAAAATGAGGACACACGTGGACACTTTTTACATAATGACAACAAAACCAGAGAGACCCACAGAGAAACGAAATGATTCCATCGGCAATCATTTTTTTTTTTTTTGCCTTCACTTCAAATCAGCGCTCACAACACTATTATAGTGCCGTTTGACTCCAACCCGTGGTCACACAGGAGAGCCCTCTGTACCTTCCCCTCCTGCGGTACTTTGCCTTCGATTTTTAATACGAGAAGAGTTCAGCACTCTCTTCCCTCTGTGTACACACGAACTAGCGCTATCCACTAGGCCAGGAGCGGAAGCGAGAGAAAAACTCCTTTGCAAGTAAAGCTCGCTCACGCCGGGATTCGAACCGCTGACCTGACCCCTAGAAGGTTTCGAGGATACCAATTAGACCACCGGGGCGACCGGCTATGACTTGCACTAGTACTGCAACGATCACGATCGAAATTGACATCAATATAATCGCGTTGCTGTGTGGCGTTTTTCGTGGTGTGTGTCATCATGTACAACATATCCATCGGTGTTGCTAACTCCCGCTCTTACACGACACCGCGTCCTTTGCGATGACTTATACTGGACTGATACCGTGTTACAGCAGCGGGGAACCCACCCCAGTAGTCTTCCTCCCATCTTCACGCTTGACTACCGTAAAAGGCGGAGAGATGACACTCCCTCCAGACCGACTTTCAGAGCTCGATTGCTACACAACCAAGGGGGCGCGGAAAGAGACCGATAAGTGTACGAAGAAGCCCTCGACGATGTTTCCAAAACTACCTTTGTTGGTGTTGGCACGATCTTGTTTTGTCCGAGCAGTCCATCTATGGAAACCGGTCTAGGGCGGGATACAATCTCTCCGCCTCGTACGGTACTTCACACGGGGGAGGTACTTACACACACACATCGCTGCTCCTTGTGCGACAACTAAAAACACTCCGGGGGGCAGCTCCCGTGGTACCGTAGGTTGCGCAAGATATCACACCCCGTGGACCGATTTTAAAAGCTCGATTGCTTGGAAAGAAAATCGGTGACGGTGCCGTCAATTGCAGCGAAGGAACCACATCGTCGAGAGTTCCCAAAAACGGATCGTTGTATTAATGTATCCTCTTCGTCGTCGAGAAACCAAGCTTTGAAAATCGGTCCGGGGGGCGTGGTATCTTATGCAACCGGTACATATCTACCCGACCAAGCTACAGAACATCGGGCGGCTGCAGGGCACACACATCCGGCGAAGAAGATTCCCGAGTAAACAAACACTCACGCCTTCCGCTCGCTGCCTCTCCTCCGCGGCCATCCCGTCGTCCCCAGCAGCAGACGCCTTAAGAGCGGCGGCGCCTTCGCCCGCATCCTGTTGGGGCGGCGTTATGATCGATTGGTGGGGCGGGGTGTGGATGTGGGTGCGGGTGAGCGGGGTTGGGGGGTCGGCGGGGGCAGCGGGGCGCACTCATGTTTGACATGCCTTGGTTGGTTGGTTGGGGGTCAGAATTATTGGCATGCGTGCGGCCGTGGCGTGTATGCTTCCGCCTGCCAAGCAGGTGTGTACCAAAGCAAGCGGGGGCCAATGTGTGCGAGCGTGCAAGCTCAGCATTGCTTTGGCGGTCTTTGCGTGGGGGCGGAGAGGGGCAGAAGATCTACCGGATGGCGTACGTGCGCGGTCGTCATTTGTGGGAGGGGGTTCGCGGCAACAATTGAGACAAATACATGCGGTCCCTCGTGCACGGAACACTTCGACTCCACAACAGCACCAACCATGCTCCGCACCACTTTTCAGAAGCAAAAAGGACAATATGGTAGCATGCAGCAAGCAGTAGTGGGGTGGGCGAACCACGCTGCTGGTCAAGTGGTATGATCATGAAAGATGTGCTGCTTGGATTCTTTGACTCAAACGCGCCTCCGGCACACCTCCAACACAGCTCAAGTCTTCGCCGAGTCTCCATGAAACCTCGCACAAATCTACGTAGATGCCGCGGTCTTCCATGGGTGTTGGTGCCTGACGTTGGATTTGATGATATCGACGGTGGAACTACTACTACTCTCAAACAATCGGCCCAGGGATCGGACGTGCGTCGGATGCTTAAACTATACCTTGTACGGTTCTATCGCTACGGAAGAGAGTAAATCGCGTGCTGCACCATCGGGTCCTGTCAACGGATGCCGTTTGCGATGCGAGGAGGAACAACGGTGGAAACTGTGAGTTTCGCCACAAAGGGAAGATGGAGTGTATGTACCTGCGCCGCTTCTTTCTGTTTCCTTGCTGCTCTCCTCAGCTCCAGCTTCTTCTCGTCGACCTCCACCATTTTCGATTGGATCGCACGGATCTTGGGGGGGGGGCGGGGGAAAGCATGGCGGGCAGAAATCCGCACATGTACGTGGCATCCCGAGAGGCGCGCCAACACGAGAAGAGCGCGACAGGGTACACATAAGCAATAGGGTCACACATCATTACGGACACACAGACCAGCCCCTTGACACGATCTGACCACAACAAAATCCACACCTACTCCTCAACAAAAAGCCGTGCACGCGCTTGCCGCCGCATTTTGACAAAAGATGGAGTTTCAGCGCCCATCGAGGGCAGCCGGGTACATGGGTACGGACACACAATCGCCTGCAAAATTTCTCCACACTTCGTTGTTCTTTCTGCTGGGTTTGTCTTCTTACCCCTTCGACCCTCTGGAGCTCGCTCTCGTCCAGGGTGGAAGGGTCAAGGCTGATGTTGTCCAGATCGTCATCCTGCAAGACAAACACACAGCAGGGCAACCACAAGCGCAGAATGTACCGGCGTGGGCGCGTTGCAGTAGACAAGTCAAAATGAACGAAGCAGCTGCAGCAGCTGCAGCAGCAGCGGATGGACGCATGCGGCCAGACAGGTACAAGAAAACGACAACCGAAATAGGCGGGATGACAACACGACACCGGTCGACGTGTGCATGAAATTAGAGTCAGCTACGTGCGCATTGAGGACATTCATAGATTCCGTTTTTCAAGTGCCCTTGGACGCGGAGAAGCGTTCCCGAGATGCGGGGGACGATGTCTCACTAGTCTATCCCAGGGGTCAAACGAAGGCTTTTAAGGCGCCCAGAGGTGTCGCTGGGACGAAAGGAAAAGACAGGTAGCCTAGTGAGAGCGATCGGTGGCATAGTGCTTAAAGCTGTCAAACCTATTTAGAACCAACCGGTCATGAGCGGCCACTTGCAGTACGTGGTCACGAAGGCCTTGCATATCGATGTACCATTGTACAGCAGTACCTGATGCACACCAACAATTTCTTCTGCGCGGTAAATTAGACTTTACGCAAGCAGTTGTCTACTGCTGTAGTGCCAATGAGGTGCTGGCCAAGCTCGCCCCGAATACCATGCGTGCTTCTCCAACGACTACAGGAGTGCACAGAATGCAACACTTGATGACTTGCTCCACAACTAACCGTGGGAACCGAGTTGCCTGCGTCCTCCCTTGCCCTCCTCACCCTCCGTCCGCGCGTTGCTTGAGTTTGTGGTAGACATTACTGCTGTAGACTGGTACAAGGTCTACAACATGGTAGGCATTGCACAAATACTAGGTGAACAGACGTTTTACTCAGCAAACGACTTGATGATGCCTCCCGGGTGCGTGGCCCTAACAGACTCTGTGTGCTTCACACCTGATACCAATGCGTTTCGCAGACTGTTCGCACACCGGCTTGAATCAATACATGCACATTCTGGGTTCTTGTTCAACCCTATCAATTTTTTGGAGAAAAAATGTTCCCATTGTAGGTAATTAGAGCAAGCAAGCAATGGTCGACCAACAACCATGAAATAGTTTTGGCCATCAATATCGCTATCAGTAGAGAGTGTCAACCTCAAACCACAGCAGTGCGATCACCGGACAACCGACGGCCAGCGTGTTGTTTACGTTAGATCATGTCAACTTCACTATAATAGGAACCGACGCTCTATTTCTGGATTGTGTCCCTCGCGCGTTTGCGAGCAAGACAGAAAGACCGGCACACTACTCCAGCTGGTGGTAACGGCTTATACGCTCTTTCGCTTTCTCGCCCTCTTCTCTTACCGTGAGTCTCCCTTCCGCCATCATGAACAGGCCCCGCCGGCCAACAACAGCAGCAGCAGCTCCTCCGGTGTGGCTCCTCCGGCTGCAAGTCATCATGTCGCCGGAGCCGCCGCTGGCGTCGGCTCCAGCAGCACGCCTCCTGGCGACGATACTCGGCCGAAGGAACCCCCTCGCGCACGGAAGGGAAGCGGAGGCGACGACGAGCACTACAGAAGGGCAACGCATCCTACAACAGCAACAAGAGACCCAGTGCAAAAAGTGTGAGCACGGCACTCTCCCCACACAGCCAGCACAGAGGGAAGGTACGGGGATTGATTCGAATGTACCATTTGCGGTGTCCCCTTGGCTGAGCGCTGCGTCCCGCGCAGCAGGCAGACTTATATATCCCTGTGCTCAGCTTGCTCAGCTTTGTACTAAGCGACGGCCCTCTGGCTATCCAATACCCAACCGGTGCAAGAGTCACGGGCTTGTGGTTTCCCGTCAACGAGGCTCTCTCCCCATAATTCGCGACGCTCTACTGACAAGGGCAGAGTAAAGAACGACCAGCGGGTTTGGGTGTATATATTTGTTGTGTGCTCGACCGCTCGACCTACGCTCGACGAAAGCAGCATCAACAAGAAACATGCACCTGTTCTCGAGGCTGGTATGCTGCGGCCCTGGAGCAGAGAGCAACGTGCACTACAGCGACGAGGAAAGCAGCGGCGACGAGTTTACCGGCAGCGGGGCCGCCTCCGCCACGGTGATCCGCTGGCCCCACGACACACCGCGGCGTTTGGAGGACGCCGGGTCCGTGAGGGTCCTGCCGTCGGATGTCAAGGCACCCACGGAGAGATCACGGCATCCTGGCCATCGGAAAAGCGAGAGCGTTGCGAGTTTCTCCCCTCATCAGCAGCAGAGGTCGGGGGGGGGTGGTGCGAAGGGGGGGGAGGAGGGCGCGCGCTGGCCTGGCAAGCAGTCGTCATTGGTGAGAGTGCTTTTGTGTTACGAGGAATTATCTAATACAGAACGGAGAGACACTTCAATATGTGGTAGTATGTGAGACCTACAAAAAACAGAAAATAGCTTTTGATTTGCAGCCGGTGTCTAGGTGAGTTGCTGCCTGCCGTGTTGGTCCGACACCTCCGCACGATTTGCGTGCGTCTCCTATGCATGTAAATGCTCCCCTAAGGAAACGTATCATGTCGAGATAGATAAAGCGTGATGCATGGGTTCGAAGCTTTAGCTTTACTACTTCTACTGCTGTGCACGGCGGAACCATCCATGCATTGCCACTGCCCCTTTGCTAGCGCGGTGCTGCTGAAAAAAGACGAAAGGGGCATGTCTTGTGTGTGTCATAGACCGGAAACACACTGCGGCGAACGGCTTTTCTTGGAGAAGGCCGCGAAACTCTGCAGCATTCTTTGTCTGCGTACCGGAGGACGATTATTTTTCCGGGGGGATGGGGGAGGGGCAGTCCGCCTGATGAGTCCAAATCCCACAAGGGAGAGAGGGAGATAGATAGTTTGGGTACATGCGTCTGCATCGTAAACACCAAACAAAAACTCTGCTGTTGTGGGTATGCATAGACTACAGCAGCAGCAACTGCCAGCCCATGCGATGAGACAGCCCAACAGAAATCCGACGGAACCCAAAGATGGAAAAATACCCCGATGGAGTGCGGAACACACCTCAACAACATACGTACGCGTACTATATACAAATATATGATCCCTTCTTTATGGTTCGGCAACAGCAGATAATGATCGACAGCAGTTTGCTGCCTCTTTGCCACGTCTCCGCAAACGACGTCCATGTCGAACGACGAAGAGGCCACGTGCTCTCACAGCAACCATGTGAGATGAATCCGTGGGCGCTACTCCTTTTGCGAACACGGCGAGATATCTACCGGTCGTCGGTCCGGTAGATGCCAGCTTGTTTGTACATCCTGTTCAGTCCTCTGAAAGGTCGTGCAGCGGACTTTCGGGCGTTGTACCCCGTCCTTTCGCATGAACACCAAGCAACACCGTCGCACAACACCGTTCAGACCCGTTTGTACTTGTACCATGATTACAGAATAATTTTTTCAAAAAGAGTGGATGCCATTTCTGGCGAGTACTACGGTCCGTGCACAACAATTTGTCCAATTACGTTTTGTGCGATAACTTCTTTTCGAGAAAGAATGGGAACGTGAAGCAACGATAGTCGTGACCGCCTCGTCGAGATACGTCGATAGCTGCAGAGTTTTTTTAATTTCGGCGATATGCAACATTTTTGGCGAAAATCATCCACGGAGCCCCCTAAACTTGACATACCTCTCCCAAATTCATCCACGGGGCCCCCTAACCTTCCCCCCGGGACGCCCACCACCCTTCTCAGTTCCTGCTTTTGTACACTACGGACACCACATGATTGGATTTGTACAGATATGGTCAGTCCAGGACAATTTGTCCATTTTGTTTTTTAGCGATAACTTTCGAACAAAAACGATTTGGAAGGTGAAACTGCTTTGGCCGTGACGGCGGCGTCGAGCTGCGTCGATATCCGATGAGTTTTTTGTGTTTGGACAAAATGCGACTTTTTGGTCATAATGATCCACGGAACCCCTACCCCCCCCGACCCCCCACGGGCCCCCTAACCTCTTCACGGAACCCTCAAATCACACTGTCGATGCTTTCGAAATTTGTCATTATTATTTTGCGTACCCCCTTTGCTCGCCAAGGGGGGAGGGGAAAAGAGCGGAGGCCAGGCAGGGCAACACCACACACGCCCCCGGTCTACTCCTTACGATCAGTATAAACATCAGCCACCCAACAGACAGACATATAAACTCTGTCTGCCCCCCACAACCGCT